GGATGGGACTCCTGAGGGAGACGCAGGCTGGTGCCAACCTTCAGAAAACACTTCCAGCATGTTTGAGAATGAGAATGACATGTTCATCTATACAGTGGCTCTGTGTGAGAGCGGAAACCTGTGTTCCTGCAGAGTTGTGACACATTCACAAATAGTACATGTTCTACATATGTTCCCTGTATGCCGGGTGTGTTCAAGATCGCTCCAGCAATTTGGAGTGCTAAATGGAAAATAGACATTAATACAATTTCCGTCAAGAATTTCTATAATTCAAGAGATGGATTTAGTCTGTGCATAGCTTTCAGTAGCTGCTGGTTATAAGCGATTCTTTTAGTGAGTCAACATCATGGCCCATTTGCACGAAGAAATGTTTTAAAATTAAACATCATTTGTAAAGGTTACCACTTGTGCTACAAATTGCCTTATCTGCAATTTCTCATTATCAAAATTTCATCATGTGCTAACCGCATCATTTATTGCATCATGTGTTCCAGGCACATAAAACTGAGCCAATATACAGTTCCTGCTGACTGTGATACAGACTGTTAAAACATCTCTCTTTGCACAGTCTCTGACTGCAATTGCCCTGCCACAGCTGAGATTATTACAGAATGAGATCATGAGAGTGCTCTTTTGTATGAGTGTATATAATGTATGTGTGTCCTGTGGGCATGTATGGCTTTATTGTACACAGTACAATGACTGCATACCGGTAAAGGTGACGTAATCAGTAGATAAGCAGCAGACAGAATGTAAAATAATGACTCATTTGTAGGTAAATATGTCAATGTCAAAAAGTTATTTAAACACTGGCCTTACTGCAGCTCTGTATTGTTTCTGGCAGAACAAACCTTTGTGACCAGGGACCAGAGCCAAGGTAGACCACAGCTGAACTTTACTTTGCTGACACATCACCGGGATAATGCTAATATTAAACTGAAGTTTGTCTGATCCAGCTTAATATTCTGGGAGATGAGACAGAGTCTCATTGAGCAGCAGCATGTTTAGGCTGAACAGACACCTGTAAATGAGGGAATCAATCTGGTATGAGCTCCCAGAGGAGTTCAAGTTTGCATTAAGGCAGTCATAAGAAAATGTCTAATATGAAAGACCAAATGTTGGTGGGTCTCTGTAAATAATTTTATAAATAGAAGGTATAGACCTGCTCTATGTGGAAAGTGCCTTGAGATAACTTATGCTGTGAATTGGCGCTATACACATAAAAATTGACTTGACTTGACTTGACTTGACATATATTTCCTGAAAGAGTAACTACAGGTTTTGCAAGTTGAAGTCCAGTGTTTAAATCATATGTGACTGTAACATGTCAAATAAAGCCTGCTCCCAATACTCAACCTAACAGCCTCATACAAACGGACACTTGCAATAAAACTAACGTTTTTTCTCCTGTCACACACATGCAACACACGGGCATCAACACACACTGACCTTATGTGACATGAGGAATCAAACACAGCTCTCTCACTGCTCCACACTGCATGAACTATTCATAATGTTCTCCCTCACTGAATTATTAATGAGCTATGTTTTCTGTTTCTCCACACTTTTTCTACACTTCTGTGAGAAATTCAGTCGTTTTACTAATGATCCACTCAGGACCTCCGTCTGGTTATGAACAGTGGGCACACTTCTATATCACAATAATAGACACACAGAGTCAGATCAGAGCACCTGCCCAACCACAGGAACAAAACGTACGGCATATGGGAAAACTGGAAAAATAATGTTGTAGCCTTTGAAACTGCTGGAGACTGAAACGTAATGCATTTTGTCAAACACCTCTACCTTTATTTAGAGTCAAGAAAGAGCTAAGGCATGGCTGCATCTGCTTCGGTAGGCTGGAGTAGCCTGTGCTAGTGGACGCAAAGACAGAGCGATTTAGGAATGAGGATCAACATGCGGTGTACTGTAAGTCAGATTGAGCAGCAGACACTTCAGTGAAATCATTTTATGTTCTATTTACAGCCAAACTCTTGGGAGTCGACGATGACACAAGGTTGGTTTTAATCTCCTTGAGCAGCACAATGTGGGAGGAAACAGTCCCAAAACAAGGACATCTTATTTACTCAGAGCCACACATGACTTTCAGCACTAATTGATGTGAAATATTTTGCAACGTAACAAACAGTTGGCTTCCTCTCACTCATTATCTCTGATTCTCACTCTCTTCCTCCTCCTCCTTCTCAATCTATCACCTCTTCCCTTTCTCTCCTCCCCCGTTCTTCCACTCGTTTTTCGCACAGACGCTGGCGCTCATCGTCTCATCACAGATTAAAAAGGGGATGACTTTTTTTTTTATATGATACAGCTTTGCCTAATTGGCTCTGAATGAATTATGCATTGTGTCACTCATAGGGTGACAGAAAATGTATTTTCATGAATATTTCCAACATTTTTCTGATTATCACAAGCTATAGATCATCTTTAAAAGTCATCGCTACTGTTGCAGAAAATTCCATTACAAGATTTCTATTACAAGCGATGCTTACATGTGGCATGGTAAACATTAGTGATTAATTTTGTTTTCATTTTGAGAGAGTGAACCATTTTCATCTGTTGGTCAGTAACCTAATTACATTCATTTTCATTTAATGTAGTAAATAAACAGAACCCCAAAAAGTCCAAGGTTGGCCACATACTTTTTATAGAGACTGCAATTTAACCATTTATTGTTTTTTTTTAATTGACTCAATTACTTTGGCACATAATCAGCAGCTCATTTGTGTTTTCTCCACAGTTGCATCATCACTTTCTATTAGTGGAATTTCCGGAGCTGTGAGTATCGCAGGAGGACTTTGTTTACTGAAAACTGTTTTCTTCTTGCAGATGAAAAAACAGCAGCATTTGGATGTGAGGTGACACATGATCCAAGTAAAAGGAGTTTAAACTTCTTTGCTCGTTTTAAAAAGAACAGGTATTGTCTGTGTAGCCAAAGCCTGGCATAGCTTATTCCTCTGTGGCACAGACCTTCATTGTTGTCCAGAAGCTATTAAAAACACATAAATAAGCCACACCATTGAACTGGGTGACATCTTTTTTCATTACGCTGAGCATGGGCTCAGTAGTTTATTAGTTGAGCCCATATACACTGTTCTGCTGCTGTATTCACTGGAGCGCCAGGTCTGCAAGTGAAACTGGCCACAACAAATACAATTCCATCTGCTTAAAAACTACAGGGCTACTACAGGGTTTTAGGAAATAGTTTAACCTCTAAATGAATGTATATATTCTTGAACACTTTTTTCAATTTACATCTTCAGTAAGAACCAATGGGCTGACAACCACAGATAGGATAGTAGATTCAGAAAGTACTGTGATACAGATTAATTGTTATAATTATTGTTATTGTTGTCCTTTCAATACCTTTCATTTGATAAACAGTTTCTTCAGTTCAGTCTCAACCCAGTTGCTCAGCCTGTGAGTGCAGATTAAACTCAAAGGGCTTTCCAGTCTTGCATCCAAATCAAGATGCTCTATAAAACACATGGAGAGACCAGCGGCACACACAAAGAAGTGTGGCACCTACAGTCTCTGCCACCACGCCCTCGTGAATAGGGACAGATGATCATAATTCTGCCTGCAACAGGCAGGAAAAGACAAAGAAAAAGCAGACGCAGAGAAACAGAAAAGTTTGGGGAGATTAGGAGAGGATGAGGAGGATGAATGTGCCAAACAGGCTGTGGGAATCAAACTGAGAAACCTAGATTCAAAGTACAAAGCCTCACACCATGTCCAAATGGTTCTCACCCAATCTGAAGCAACCCACCTGCCAGCTCACATGGAATGACAACAAAAACTGTTCACGGGTTTGGAAAGAATGCACCTTATGCTGGATTGGGTTGCAGATGGGGCCAGCAGAGCAGAAACACAACGCACCTAATAACGGAGTCTCTCATGAAAACAGAGCAACGGCAGTCTCAAAGTTTTTGTAGATTCTCAGCATCTCATCAGCCAAGCATGAAAGGGACGCCTGACAAACAAATTATCTCTCTGTTTCCATAGCAATCTATGAATGGCCTGTGCTAGTGCCTGTGACAAGCAGATGCCTGGGAAGACAACGCTCGCCCATAAAAAGCCAGCGCTCTGCAGAAAGCCTGTTATTACTGCTATCATTCAATTGGACTTGATTTGCATAATTAAACTCTGTTATTGCCTGGCTCTGGAAGCCACTGCAAGTCCCCGTTCTTACCAACTGGATTCCCACCATGACAGAGGACAAGGGAGCACTTAAGGGAGGAATACACTCTCAGCTGACCCCTGGATGTGACTAATCAATACTAAAATTATCCATTAAATTGAACTTGATCAGGCTCCATTTCCTGTAGATTGGTCATATATTTCAGTGCAGCTTCAGGGTAGAGCGCGCACTGATGAGGTGAGTCAGAGCCCGGACTTCACTCTGCTAACTACATGAAAGGCCCTGACAGAGCAGAACAGAGCAGGTCCTGACTGAGAAACACAGAGAAGGAAAGAGAGGAAATAGAAGAAGCTCACAGGCTTACATAAAGCTGTGTGTGTACAAGCTGCATACAGAAACCTGCTGCCAAAAAAATTCAAATATCAACCTGTTCTTTTCAACGGTTCTTCACATTACATATTTTGATAGAAATGTGTTCATCCCTCTGTGTTAAAGAAAAACACTAGGAAACTATATAACCAACACAGACATACAATAAGAGGATCATGAAGAACCTCAGAGACAGAAAGAGCAGAGGCAATTGTTGACAGCACCTAAAGCCAAGTACTTGATTGATGCACACAGGACTTCTCTGTAAAATGCACCTATTCACTCCAAGAGCAGACAGCCACAAATGGATAATAACAAAACCAACTGAACTGCACGGTGACACAGCATTTTTCACAAAAACACATCAATAAATCATTTCATTTAGCAAATCCATGGTCGGCAAGCTGTTAGAGACCAAATGACACTTTGTTACACACAAGTGAAAGCCAGACAGATCAAATCAAAGTCTTACCTCAACTAGATGTGGAGTGGGATTGAATCCACACATGTTGCACACTTGGGAGTGGCACTGTGTGCAGGTGTTGTAGTTGGGTTGTTCTTCTGTGTTGCCTACGTTGAGATTTGTCTTACAGAGAGGGCAACAAGCTTTGGGCTTAGAGGAGTCTGGGGGAGCGTGCTGTTGCTGCTGTTGCTGCTGCTGCTGCTGCTGTTGCTGCTGCTGCTGCTGCTGCTGCACAGGGGCCCGAGGCCCTTGTTGTGTAGGCTGAGGTCCTGAGGGTTTACCTGCCCCAGGTCCAGGACCAGGAGGTCCTCCTGGTTTGGGGGTTGGTTTTGGGGGCTGTTGTTGGGGTTGAGTAGTCTCAGATATGAGAGTGCTGGCTTGGTTAAGGAGAGAAGCACCAAAGCCAAACAACTTCCCAAACGTCTGCTCTGGAGGTGGGGGCTGTCGCGAAGGGGAGCTCCCCGCACTGCGAGTCTGATCCTGACGGGGGTGCTGGGGTTGGTGGGCGGGAGAGCTGCGAGATAGATCAGGCTGGGATGGGGCCTTGGCTATGCCGGGGAGAGGGACTGCGCCTGGAGGGAGCTTAGCTTGTGGCTGACCTGGGCCAACTGGACCAGTCTGTTTGGGAGGGCCAGGCGCTGGATGAGCTTGTGCTGGCGGCTGCGTCTGAGGAGGGGTCTGTGTCTGGGGTGCAGGCTGACTCGAAGCATCAGGTGTGAGTTCTGGTTTGGCTGTGTTAGAAGGAGAGTGTATCTGTTGCTGACTCTTGGAGCGTGGTGTGGTCATGTCCATCCCCAATGCCCTCTGCATCTGACAGTTCAGACATAGCCACTCCTGCACCTGTGAAGAAAAAGAAAAATAAACGAAACAATGACCATATGCTACAGTATCTAATCTTCACCATTCAATCTATAAAAGAGAATTAAAGAACGGGATTTAAACGAATAATTCAACATACTGGGAGATAAGCTTATTTGCTTTGCTTTCATGCTAAGGTTTGGGGAGCTTTGTTACCTTTGGACAGAATCAGGCAAGCTGTTTCCTCCTGTTTTTTAGTCTATATGCTTTTAAGCTAAGCTAACCGGCTGTTGATGGTAGCTTCATATTCACTGTACAGACACCAGAGTGGTATCGGTCTTCTTATATAACTCAGCAACAAAGCAAAAAAATGTAACTATTCCTTCAACAAAAATGCTTAACTGAAGAACTGCTTAACTTGAAAAAAACTCAAATAATCAAACAAAGATAAAGTACATCACAGATTTTTCCCTTCATCCACCTGGTTTTCTACTGGCTGCTCCACTTTCTTTCCACTGTCCAAAGAGATCCAAATAAGATAAAAAACTAAAACTCTATAATGTTGAATGTTAATGTGAAATTAAATGTGTTGGTCCGTTTGTGTGACAGCCTGGCTGTCTTCCCTTCCCCTCATCCAATGCATGCTGGGATAGCCTCCAGCCAGATTTGAATAGGAAAAATTGGGTTTGGAAAATGATTGAATGAAAGAATAATTGTGAATGATGTAAAATATCTCATTCAGGAAGGATTTAAGCGTCCCCGTGCCTCTGCATGGGCTTTTATTGGTAAACATCATTTACCCAGAAACAAATGTGTGGGAAATAAATGTGACAGATGGGGTGAACTCTGGACTCCTTCAATAAATCATGGCTGCCCATGGTTTTGTAATCTTCCCTCACGTCTTCTGTGTGTATCTTCCCTCTTTGCTTTCTCTTGCTTTCCCTCTCATTACACATGTTCCCTTCCTCATTAAAATCCTCCCACCATTCTCCTCTTGTTTCTCCCGTTTTTTTTCTTTTCCTTTATGTCTTGGCTTCTCCTATCTTCTTTCTTGTTCATTTTCTGAGCCATATAGGCACATAAGAAGTGAAAGGCAGAAAGAGGCCCTAGTGATGGCACATGGCCATATGTGGTAATTGGCATCCTGGTGCTCTGACAGCTGCCGCTCTATTGTAGCTGTCTTGGACTCGTGGTCATTACATAATGCCTTAATGCATTATAAATACCAGCAGAAAAAGGTTGTGTGAGGGTTGTGGCTGGGTTGGAGGTCTGGGGCACAAAGAGCGAGGTGGGAAGCCTGGCCACCAGCCTTTTCCTTTATGCCTTTGGGTCAAAATCCCCTTTCATCCTGTAAAGATGGATTCATAAAGATTTCAATCAGCTGAGAGTGTTTAGCAAAGGAAATTGTTTCACTTCCGCACTGGAATCAGGAAATCAGGAAATCAGGAGGGCCTGTGGCCATGGGAGAGTGATTCACACACAAGTTCACAAACACACAAACAAGACACACACTCATAAACACACATGGTGGTAGTCTCTATATAAGCCCTATATTTTGACATTTATTAGAATTGCTTAAACCATTGACTATGAAGTACAATTCAATACAATATTACTGTTTTAAAATCAGGCAACACACTTTTACTATACACATATAATCAAAACTTTACAATGGCTGTTTACTACTGTGTCATATAGTATTGATGATGAATTTTACATGGGCAGTAATGCTAAATATGATTGGCTGTAAATGTGACGCTAATTGTATGCTGAACTGTGCACATGTTATAACCTGCACTGCTTTATTCGATTTTAATTGCATAATGTTATTGACTGCCTCGAGCATTGTTCCATATGTTATCTGTTAAATACATTTCAGACAAGGTAGCGGGCAGCCTGTCCCTTCACAGTTTAGCTACAGTCTTATGAGTCACTGAACCTAAAGTGTAGTATGTGGCAAAGCACTGACTCACTACTGTGCTGTGACTTTTAGTTAAACAAGAAACCCTTGCTGTTAACATCTAATTTCGCTGTCGCTTGATAATAAGACTGTATAGTCATTTCGTTGCACTTCATTATTCATGAATAATTATTCGCTATTTGAACTGCTCAGGAAAATTAAGATATGGGCAATGATTCAGAGGTCTGGCACCAGGCTAATTTTGCTGGCCTCCGGTGGTAAAGGTCTTTGATGAAGTGATGTAGAAATGTACTTGGTGTGTTCAGTATGCCTTGATAGCATCGGTGTGTTGTGGCCACAGGTGCAACAGAGCACATATCAGGCCCCTCTGATGTAGTGAGAAGTACAGGAACCTGGTTCCAGACCTCAGAATCACTGCCTACAGCGTCGATCTGTTCAGTATTTCCTTTAGATCTGGTGTCGCGCTAACTCACGACTGCTTCCTCTGGTCAACCAATCAGGAAGATCATGCACATTAGCTTACTTCCTGTGTTGTGTTGCTGGATGGCAAGTCGTTAAAGAGTAACTTAATACTCTCTGAAAATCTAATTCTGCTTACAGGCGTGACAGACCACACCCAGCACCACTGACAGGTGGTCAGAGGTGTGAAGGTTGAAATTCTAAACAGCAGGACAGTGAAACACTGTTTTTCAGCCTGGTGTTAAGTTACTCTTTAATGCCATCATAATACAATGTGATAAAGATACAACTGCGATAAATACATGATTTCCTTTTAAACACATTTTTGCACTGACAATGATCTCGTGTGTATGTATACTAATGTTTTCATTCAAAGTTGCACTGCTCACTGCTTTAAAATGTTTAGTAACAACTCCGTGTACTTTACAGTGTATCTCAGTGTGTCTCTAAGTCAGTCATTCAGTAAGTCATTGTAAACAGTGTAAGTCACAGGCTCAGCAGCATCTTAGCCCAGTGCCTGGTCCCCTGCCAATCCTCAGTAGGAGGAGTGATGAGTTCATGGTTTTCACTGTCAATCAGGGGAAACTGAGAAGCCGGGAGTAGAGGTGAACCATGGGGACAGTCCGAGTTACGAGGACAGTGAAATAAGCCAACGCTGACGCAACACAACACCATCCTGCATGGGACTCTTCATCCAATCAGAGATTCATAAGTGGGAACTCCTCTTTCTGTCATTGGTATTGTCCTTGATTTTTTTTTTCTTTCCAAATTACAGTTAGGATAATCATATTAAGCTCTTTGTGGGAAAAAAACTAACCGGAAAAACAAAGAAAGCAGCTACAGGGAGGGCAAGCAACTATTTATCAATTTCATTGTGTCTCTGCCTGCCTCCGCCTCATCTCTCCATCTCATTCCTCCCTGCACCCCCCCCCCCCCCCCCCTTGTTATGAGGCAATCATGTGGATCTTTATGAAATCTGATCTGTATCAGCAAAAAACAAAAGTACTGCACACTCGCTGTCTCATGCTCTCCTTCTCTATCAGTTCTCTGTTGCAACCCTCCATCTTGTTCTCCTTCACTCGTCTTTATTTCTCCTTCTTATCTGCATCTCTCACATCCCATCACTCCCGCTAACTCTGCTCCTCCATCTGTATCTCTATCTCATCTATACATTTTTGATGGCTCTCATCCAGCCTTACCTTCATACATGGATCTAATTACTGCTTTAGCTTGCTAGATATGTGCATGTGTGTGTGTGTGTGTGTGTGTGTGTGTGTGTGTGTGTGTACAATGGTATGACGCACATCAAAGGTCATGAGCTGGGAGTTGATCCCACAGTTCCACGAGAACTCAGCGTTTGCCAGCAGGATGTTCGAGTGTTGTGGATTCATGAAGAACGACTTGGTGCCAGAAATAGAACCTTTTAGAAGCAAAGACCCACAGAGACTTGGATATGGATCAAATAATGAGAGCAAAGCATCTTCTGTAACACTCACACACATATTTACATTTTGAATTTATGCAGATTTGGATCAGAACTAGATCGGATTATTTCTTGTCCACGTTGACTTGAAAGCTAAAGCTAAAGGGGTGAGAAAAAAAAGAAACCTGAAAGTCTACAACTGCATGACCACTGAGCAAATTCCATCTGCTAGTGAAGATCATGCTGTATGATTGAAAGATTTGGAACAGCTATTAAATGGACCTTGTGGTTAGACTGTTTTCTCAGCTGCTGAATTAAGTTAATTAAATCTGATGCCTTGCTAGACTCTGTACAACTGAAATGTATAGAGCTGCTAAAACATTAAAATGCATATAGACCTTTTTTTTAAGACATTCTGATATATTTGAGTGTGTAAATAATCAAATTAATGATGGCTGAACTTCACTTAGGATGGCATGGTGGTGCAGTGGTGCTGAGGTTTTTCCTCGTGGAGTTTGCATGTTCTCTGGCTTCCTCCCACAGTCCAAAAATATACAGGTTATGTAAATTGGCAGCTGTAAAATTGCCTGAAGGTGTGAATGTGAGCATGAATGGTTCTTTGTCTCTATATGTCAGTCCTGTGATAGACTGGCAACCTGTGGTACTCTGCCCTTGCCCAGTGTCAGCTGGGATTGGCCTCCAGCCCGCCCCGACCCTGAAAGGATATGCGGTATCGCAAATGAATGAATGAAATTCATTTAACTGCTTTAAGTTTCAGGCTCCTGGTATTGTGCTGGCTCACTGTCACACTGGCTTACTGGTACTGGAATAGTGCCAGTAAGACAGTTTTTTTTTTTTTTACTGTGAGATTGCTAATTTTACAAGCTCAATCTGTAATTTTTTTAACTTTTTAACTGACCATAACTGAAAATATCAGTTCATTCACTGCTGTGCTTACAAACATAATTCAATTAACAGCATCAGAAAACAATAATAACTCAGATGAAGCTGTTACCACGAGGCATTCAATGTATTAGCCTACAATAAAACACCCAATGACTGGAGAAGTGCTCAGATCTTAAGTAAAAGTAGCAGTACCACAGTGTATAAATACTGATCTACAAGTAAAAGTCCTGCATTCAAAATTTTACTGACATAAAAGTACACATTAGCATCACAATATACTAGTAAAAGTGCTCATTATGCAGCATGTGCCATTTGAGAATCATATGTATTAAA